GCGCCTTTGTTCTGACTGAAGGCTGTGACCTCCAGCAAGACTCGTTCTCTCTTCACTCTGGTGTATCCTCCTCAGCCCCAGCCCCGACGTTTCTCCACAGTCTGCCCGTTGGGAGGAAGTTCAGGGGTTGTTTCTAGAATGGTGACACCACAGGGCCGTGTTTTTCCAGATCTCCTTCTCAGTCCAAACCAGCTCTGTCTTGGATGCCTGAAAAACAGGATACATGTGAGAAAAGAGTAAATCTTGGACAAAGCAGCCCAGATTAACAGAGGTGGGCACGTCTCAGATACGTACCCCCAAGTAGAAAAACACTGCATTACATAAGCTTCAGTCTTCAAAAAATGTATTCTTGTGAATGTAAGTTGTTGGGAAGAATTAAATTACGCTGGAAAATAATCAGATGTTCTTTTATCTTGAAGGCATTTTAATTTCAGTTAAATGTCAGGAGGCAATTCATTCCTCAGTAAAGCTTGACCTAAAATATTCATATTTGTAGCCTGGGTCTTTGAGACCAAGGGGAACGTGGCTACTGTGTGTTTTTATGTCTTGGTGCTTTCTTTGACACCCGGCAGGCGGTAGCATCACTGGAAGGGGCCCTCTCAGAGGAGCAGGACGGCAGGTCGGCTGTTGGCAGCAGTGAGTCATCACGCGGGTCGCTGTCCACCAGGAGTGACAGGAGTGGAACAAAGGACGCAAAACCCGCTCTGTGGCTCAGCAGCTTTCCTACCAGGGGACAAGGTAGCTGTCCTTAAGGGTCCATCCAGCAAAAATGTGTTCAGAGTCAGCGTGACACCCCGTTTCCTGATGTGTGCCCGTCAGACAGCACTGCCTAAGGAGTGCCTCCGATTCCGGATGCAGACCCTGCTACCCGTTTAGACCCCCTTCCCAAAATCGATGCTTTCAGCCAGTCTCACGGGAATGGGCAACCTGATTGCAGGTCTGCAGTTCTGCTGGTTGCCAATGAGGCGTGAAACCTTAACAAAACCAACAGTCGACAGTGGATACTTCTGATCATCCCACAGAGAGGAAGATGATTCCACTAAAATGATTCCATAAAGCCCTGTGAAGTTTTTGATAATAGAATTTACTCATAATTAGCGAACAATCTTTTTAATTATAATAGAACTTTATAAAAGTCTAAACATGACTAAGACTCAATGAATTTATGACCCCTAAAATGTAATACCCAGTTTTTAGTATCTAGAAATTGTGATTATCGTAGCATTGCTGTTAAGACATGCCCTAAACTGCTAGGGTGGTGTTTCTAAGACCCCGAGGAGCTGCTTAGGGCGTTCAGAACTTGATCGTGTGCACAGGCTCACTTGGGTTGAGCCCCACCCAGATTCGATGGATGTCAGGCTTAATTATTTTGCATGAAAGCAGTATGGAGATTTCTTAGCTTTTGAATAGGTTTTCTTTTAGGAGTAGTCTGTTTCGGACCAGAAATAAACTAACCCCAAAGAGGAGGTGGGGAGGCAATGAAAATCAAAGGAATGCAGCTAAAAAAACCAAAGGCCTGTTTCAGCAACATAACCCTGAAATGTGTTTTATCATGTGTTTGGTTTTTAGATGTTTCAAGTATCTATGGAGACGAGAGCGAGGAGGAGAGTGTGGCAGCGGGGGTGCCGGTCACAGGTAACGTCGTGGCTGAGGGCCTCAGAAGCGGAGTCAGCCTTCTTAGTCACCAGAACGTTCTGGTTCATGGTTGTGGACTCCGCTAAGAGCCAGCGCGTCCAACTGCCACGTGCTGGAGCTTCCGTGAGCGCTCGGGAAGGGGGTGGGTGACCATGTCTGCTGAGTTCTTCACAGTCGTGCTACACCTTCACACACGTGAGCGCCCCCGGCATGAGCCTCCCAGCACCTGCATCAGGCTCTGCAGGGACACCCAGTCACTCTGGGGCAAACGACAGTTGCTTCTGATTTTTCTTTTCCTTTCCTGTGATAATTGGATATGTACTGTCATAATAAGAGCAGGGAAAAGTGCCAGACAGGATGCTTGCTGGGGCCCCAGCTACAAAGCCCATCTGAGCATTTAAACATTTCAGCGATGAGGTCTCCTCAAGACCCATTAAGACTTCTGTGCATGTGTTAGGCTTGGTTAGATGAGATCAAAACGTCCTCGCTTGTTTGAGTTTTAGGGCAGCCGTGGCGGCAGTTAGTATTCTGAGCAGACTTCTGTTTGGCGCACGTCGAAATTTACTAGTGCCTTATTTTGTAAAGTGGTGCGCTACTTCATTATAAATTCAGAAGTCTGACTTTAAATATTTATACAAGTAGATAGACCGGGGCATGGGGCACTGAGGCATGCGTCTGCATGTGTGGTAGTTTTGCGGTTTATAAGCAGAAAGAATGGCTTTCTTGTACGGCAGTACAATTCATGGCCTGGTGATTAATTTTTAAATCCATGTTTCTGTGATGAACTCTTTTTTTGAAAAAGGAGTTTATAGTAGAGCAATTATTGTGTATATTCTGCATCACATAGTATTTCACCCTAAAATACAGAGGTTTTCTTTTCTTTTAAACATTTTCCCAGTGATATGTTTATTGCATTGTTATTCCTCATTTTGAGAAAACTCAGAGAGCTCCCCGTTGGGTTTTATCAATAGAATTAACCCAAGGAGCCTTTGGCGCTTCTCTTTGGCGTTTACCTTTGCGAGCGGCAGCAGCTGGCGGCCTGCTGGGGTCAGGAGGGCTTGCTGGGGAGACTGAGTTGCCTGCTCTGCCTCATCCGTTCAGTGTCCTTTCCAGTCGCCCTTCGCTGCGAGTCGGGGACTTTCCCCAGAGTTAACTCAGATGCAGTTTACCCATGGGATTTAAAAAACTGAGGTATAATTGACTCAGTTGTCTCAGTGTCTGGTGGACACCATACTGACTCACTGTCTGCGCTGCAAGACGGTCAGTTCAGCACAGTCGGCCTAGGGAACGCCTGTCACCACTCAGGAACAGGTTTGTCTCCTTGGAATGAGAACTTGTAAGGTTTACTCTCAGCCGCGCTCAGATGTGCGGTGCAGTATTGCCAACCGTAGTCACCACGCTGCACGAGACATCGTCAGGACGTCCCGCTTTTGTAACTGGAAGTGTGTGCCATTGACCCCATCACCCGTGTCCCTTCCCCTCGCCTCCGGTACCCCCAGTCTGTCCTCTGTATCTGTCTCAGAATTTCTTTGTAAGAGAGGAGATAGTGAAGTAGCAGGGTTTCAGATCTCTCCTCGTGTGGGAAGAGGTGCGATGTGCCTGGAAGTCGTAAGGGCTGTGTACCGTGAAGAGTTTTAGAGAAAGTGTAATCCTAGTGTCCTGCCATTGACCCATCAGTAAAAAAAATGCTTCGTGCCTGCTGTGCGCCAGAGGACTAGACACAGATAACCTGGGAGACTTGCAGAGAACTTCCTGAGCTGGAGAGCCTCGGGTCCCGCCCCACGGCCACGCCCCCCGGGGTTGGTGTCGAGGGCTCGGGCGCCCAGCTGCCCGACGCCGTGGCTGTCTGTGGTCACAGCTGCTTTGACCTCTCGTTCTTGACCTTGGTCTCGTCATTAAATGTGTGTGTCTTTTGCCATCATTATTTGGAGATTTGGCCTCTGGTAACGTAAGGCACGCATAGAGTTTTGATTTGAAGTAGAGTCTGCCTCCCACTCTATGACGGTTCTTTTGAGGCTTTCCTTCGTGTGGGGGCTGCAGTCCTTCTAGAATATTCCAAAGAAAGGAACATTCCAGAGGCTGCTTTGGGGAAACCCCTGTCCTCACGAGAGGGAAGAGTGGTCCACAGAACGTTAGCCCTGCTGGCTGTTCACAGGAAGGGTTTCGTTTTCACATAGAAGAAAGTTATCTGAAACGAGTTCACGCTTGTAAATGGTTCATTGACAAGAGTCTTCTGAAAAGTCTCCACTGCGCACTGTGCAGAGGGCAGAGGTCCTGGGGGTCTGACCCCAGCGTGCTGTGGGGCCCACAGAGGTGGCGGCCCTGCCCGGCGAGTCCCCCGGAGAGCTTTCAGGCCGGTCTAGCTGCACGTCCCCCAGGTGAGAGGTTCTCTGCCACCTGCTTGAACCACGGCAGGGAGCGGCTCTCCCAGGGCGCGAGGGGGGCTCTTATTTCTGGCAGCTCTGATGCTGCTTCTTATCTCAGTGCCTGTGGCTCTCATTCCCCAACAGTGAAGGGACCAGACGAGCCAGTGCTCTCAGTCATCTTGCTTCTTGCCTGCTGCTCCCCCCAGCGTAGGTCTTCTGGGCACAGGGCTCATCCTGAAAGAGTTTGCTGTCACTCTGAGGCGTCAGCCTTGTTAATCACCAGCATGAGACACTGGCTCCTCTCTGTGCTGACATTTACAAGACATCTTTCTGCGCGCGCGCGCACACACACACACAGTAAGCGTGGCCACAGCCCAGGGTCTGTTAACACAATCCACACAGTCTAGCCCTTTCATTAGCCTAGTTGTCCACACTGAAGAATCCAGGTAGAATATCAGTAATGTGATTAGCTGTGACTGTGTGGTTTTCTGTACATAATAAATAGAATATAGATTGCATATATATTTCACTTTTTACTTGGGCAGAGTCCTGAGAGTACCAGGGACAGCCAAAGCCTGGTCCCTTCCCCGCCGAGTCTCCGTCACCTCTGACCTGCGCAGCGGCCCTGCAGGTGAAGAGACCGTTCTGCAGACAGGCCAGGGTGAGGGCCCTACTCAGGGCCGTAGGATCAGTGTGTCAGGTCCTGAGTCACACTCAAACCTCAGGGTTCAAACCTGCAGCCCCTTCCATCCCGCCACCCTGCCCCTTTGGTTTTACCGGAGAGGCGCCTGTATCAGGGTGTCTGGACCAGCCAAACGTCAGTATGTGTCTTAACAAAAGGTGAGGTTTGCAAGGACGGTTTTGAGAGCAATGATGAACAAAGCCTAGAGGGGTGGGAGCTGGCGAAGACCTCCAAGTGAAGACCACCCCGGTGGCCCTGGTAAGGAGGGGTGAGCCTGAGGACATGAGGCCTGGGACACACGCAGGAAGCAGTGGGTCAGGTGTGTTTCCCTGGAGCACTTGGGCCGGGATGGAAGAGAGAAAGTCTCCCTCTGAACTGCTTATACCCCCAAAGTGAAATCTCCCACACTGGCAATTTTATTTGTTTTTGTACTAAACTTACCTTTGAGTAAATTCAGAGAGTTTTAGTTTGAGCAAATGATGCAGCTTGTGCTAAATGTCATAAAAGCCCAGCCCCCAACATGGTGTCTGGCACACAGTGGGCACGCAGTTTGTCAGGCGAATGAATAAAAACGAGAGTATTAAGGAGTTTCCTTGATCACTTGTTGATTCAGGCCAGAATACTCTCAGTCACTCACTCCACCGACACTTTTCCCACCCCACGTGCCCATCCTGGCAAAACGCATCTCCTTAAGCTCCATGTGAAAAGGGCTCTCAGCTTTTATCTGGAGAGGATTAAGCCTCTAAGAATGTCCATTCAGCCTCTCATTCTTTTGACACCAGTTCTCTTGGTCAAGCTGTGTTGAAAGTGGCTGCCTGACTGCCATTTCTCACTGATACTCTTTGGCAAGCCGAAGTACTCAAGGTCATCCAAGGTACGTCCACTTAGAGGCTTTGTGGGAGGTCAGCAGAGACGTGAAGGGTGCCACTTGAGGTTCTGGGCAGTGCTTCCCCGAACGTTACTGCGTGAGTTTTCCATCAGATTGGGGAAAGGCTGGAAATAGACGATGGCCACATTGTCATTGGTGACTTGATTTATCCTGGGAGAGAAAAACTGGGGTGACAGCTTTGGACGGCTGGAGTCCAGGGGCATAGCACTTCCCTGCTGAGCCGTCACCGAGAAGCCGCATCACCCGTTCTGTCCCAGAAGTGCATAGTCAGTCAAGTCAGGGTGTCTGGGCTGTGCCTGGGGCAGGGAGCCCCCAACTCAGGCAAGGCCCCGGGAACCACCGTCTGCCGCTGGATTGTCCCTGGCCCTGCCCATGTGGCCCCGTCCCTGTGACAGGGGTTGGGCTAGTGGGGCTTCACCCCTGGGGCCTGCTGCTCACATAGCCAAGAACTCGGTGCTCAGGACGTGGCAGGCTGGTGCTGCTCTGTGCCATGGTCGTGGAGGAATGGGAGGCCCCTTTCTGCAGAGCGCTTGACTCGGTGCATTCAGGCAAGTGAACTCAAGGCGCCTGTGAAACTCCCGCAGCCGCTCAGCAGAACCCTGTGCCCCAGCCACACCCCCGACCAGTTCCCACGAGCCCCTGGGGGCCGAGACCAGGCAGCAGGCTTTTGTAACAGGTGACTGCCTGGGTTTGAGAACGTGGGGCTGGGGTCTCAGAGCTGGAAGGGCCCTTGTAGGTCACGTAGTGAGACACCCTCACTTGATGCAGGTGACTCAGGTGGAGAGAGGAGAGGCTGGGCTTTAGCTGTGTCACCACCACCAGGGACAGGGAGGGTGCGCTCTGCCTGGGGCCGCCGTGACAGCCTGCACTTGCTCGGCTCCGGGGGCCCGAGCCTGAAATCAGGGTCAGCAGGCCCTGCGAGGCTCCCGGGAGGCCTGGTCTGCTCCCGCCCCTGGTGGCTCCTGGTTTGTGGCTCCAGGACCAGGTGACTCCACTCTCTGCCCCAGTCGTCACATCGCCTCCTTTTCTGTGTCCCTATGTCCTCATCCTGGCAGGACCACGGTCACTGGATTTAGGGCCCACCATAAATGCAGGCTGGTTTCATCTTGAGATCCTTAGCTGATGCATTTGCTGGGATCCTGTTTACAAATAAGATCACATTCTGAGGTTCTCAGTGGACATGAGTCTGGGGGGAAAACACTGTTCAACCCACTACAGAGTATGAGGAGAGATTTCTTCTTTTTGAATTTCTAGCTCCTGGTTCATCTTGCACAGTGATTATTCCTTGCCCTCCTAGAGGTGATGATGATGCCAATATTGTCTTTATTTCCAGTTCTTCTCATTTTATAAATCATTGAGTGCAAACTGCTAAAAATGTTGTTTTTAAGAAACTATTTAATTATAGCAGTAACATACAGCTTCCTGATCAAGATAATCAAAAGTTAACAATCCCATGACCTTGAGGGTTGAAGATTCACCTCCCGTGACTGAGCATTGGTGAGCGGCAGCGCCGTGGTTATGAGTTTGTGTGTGATTAGTATCAGCAAAACTGCTTCAGTTCAGTGTGGGAATGTTATCAAAGGCCCAGGGAAGCCTGGCATTTGACTTCAGGTGTGATTGTTGACTTGCCCCGGAGAAACTCGGAGTGTGATGTGGACACCCGCCCTCTGCAGCAGCGGCAGGCGGCGCACCTGAACCAGGAGCTGCTCTGCCCCGCGCACCCGGGGCTGCGCTCCAGGCCGGAGAGGCGCCGGGCGGGAGACACGCGGCCAGGCCCGCCGGTGGAGCGGGGGTTCCCGTGGGAGGTCTGGATGTGGAAGGGGACTGCCTGTGGGCCCGGCCCGTGTGTCTCACATTCACATGGATGGATGGCATTAAAAACAAAATCCTGAGTGTAGATGCATCTTCTGTGTTTCAGGATTGTGGAAGCACCCTTACCCTAATGGCTTTGAGTAGATTACTGGACAAGTGATTTCTGTGTTTTAAGTAATAGTATCTTAAGAACTAATTTTAGAATTATATCCCACAATTTTTATTTCATTTTGCAAAAGCAACTGGGTTTGCTGCATTAGCGACACATCTGGTGCAGTGTGCATAGAAAACTGACGTGCGCGTAAAGTACATGGGGAGTAACAGCCCTGAGGGGCTCGTGGACAGAAAATATTTTTTGAAGTTGAGTTGAGAATTTCTATACATTTCTTACAGGAATGGTAATTATCGTTCCTGACTCAGAAGTGCCCAGCTATTTGTCAGTTCAAGGCCGTTTTTCCAGCTGTAGTGATAGTATTGTCCGCATCTCCTTTTGTTGTTCCCTTTCTGGGCCCAACTCTTCTTTTTTTCACGAGGGATTTCCGCGAAAGCCACGGCGGACCCTCTGCCTGCGAGCCACCCTTCCGAGGCTTGTGAACCGCTTGTTCATCTGGCTCTTGTAACGGGCTGTTAAAAGCACTTGTTCATCAGATATTCTCTTTTTCTTTTTCTCTGTAGATTTAGAAGTATTTTAGCAGGTGTACATTTGCATATAAAAGGACGACGGTAAGAAGTTGGGCTTTTTCTTTCTCTCCTCAGCATCGTCTCTCCTGCCCCCTTTTATTCAGCACGTTTTCACTTTCTGTTTCCATTTCCTAGACACCAAATGCATATCAAGAAGGGAAAAAACAGTCTCAGTGATCATTCACCACTTTGCAGGAAGGTAGATGACTGGGTTCAGCCAGCTTATGTAACGAAGGAAGGAAAAATGAATTTACCTCCTTGTGTCATCAGTCTGGAATTGATAGCAAAGGTTAGATTGACGCCCCTGGCCCCCTTGCCTTACTTTGTATTTTAAGCTGCAGTGTTTCCTACTTTGGAAGCTAAATCCTGACGCAGCTCTGAGTATCGCCAAGCCCCCCGGAGCAGAGAGCCAGCGCGAGCTCTCCGGGGCACCTCGTCGACTGTCGTTGTCTCCTTAGAAATCCCTGTTTTCTCTCATTGTTTGCACTACTCAGCATCATTACTAACGGGAGGAAGTATTTCTCTGGAGTTCTGAGTCACAGGCTACCATGTGAAGCCTTGAGGGGCTGCGTGGTCCTCGAGTTGGCGGGCATAGGGTCCTCGCACCTTGGGCCTGTGTGACCCTCGTCCCCACCCTGTCTGCAGCAGGCTGGCTGGAGCATCTCCATGTGCTCCCGTGGCTCCCGTCTCTCCCCTCACTCCTTTCATACCTGTGGGTTGGCGGGGCTACGCCGTGCGGCTTTTACCCGCTTCATTCCTCACTGTCCTTCTTTCTGAAGAAGTCTGGGCCTGCCATGCCGCAGACCTCAAGGCCGGAGCCCTGCCTCAGTGCAGCGGGCATCCTGGCTGAGGCTTCTGGGCTGTTCCAGGAGAATGTCTGAACTGTGTGAGCTCCCCTAGCAGAACGTGCACTCTTGCCCCCAGAGAGCCTGAAGCCAGGGCCGTTTGGTGCAGGCAGCTCCGTCCTGCCCCCCCGAGCAGCTGCTGTAACCTCCCTGGACGCTGTGGCCCGGCTCGGGCAGCTCTTCAGCTGAGAAGCCTAGACTGACACTAGCCTGTACCTCGTGGCTGAAGTTTCTCTAAGTGTTCTTGTGCCACTTTCAGTGAACACATGAAAAATTGCTCACTACTGTCTACTTTCAAGGCTGCAGCTATGTTCTGTTCAGCCTGTGCAACGTTTTAACTTCTAAAAGCACAAGTCCGGCAAAGCTTGGCCACTTTCCCTGCTGGCAGCCATTGGCTGAGGCCAGAGGACAGCTGTCCCCACTGGACTGGGCACGAGGTCTCCAGCAGGCTGCAGGTCAGCCCTCCCACTGCTCCCCGAGCTGGGTCACATCTGTCAAATGCATGCGGCCCCAGAGTGCCCACACTTCCAGACCTGCCCTGTCCAGCCTGTTCACAGAGCCTGTGTACCCGAGCCCTTCTTCCTTTGGTTCTGCACAGGCTGCAGTCTTTAACCTCTCCTGGTTATATTTTTAACCAAACTTTAATTTTGTTTTCCCTTTTTGTTTCATCTCAGTCCTTCACGTGTTACTCTGTGCGGCTCTTCTGACCAGACGCTCTGGGCGCCGGCTGCTGGGGGTCCCTCCTGCTGCCCCGCGCAGTGTTCGCTCCTCCAGCTGAGCGCACTGACGCTGTTCCTCTGCAACTCCACTCTGCCCTCGCACCTCACAGGACGGGAGGTGGGGCAGGCGACGGGCCTGGGTTTTGCCAGCCTTTACTACTTGGGTCAGGGCAGCCACATCCCAGACAAAGGCGCCAGGGCCCTGCTTGGAGAGGGGCCCCAGGAGGTTCAAGGACCGAGTGCCGGTGCGGAGCCGCGGTTGGGAAGGGCGTCAGAGCGGGCGGGTGGGGGGAGCTTTCTCCCTCCAAACTCCTGTACCATTGAAAGCAGACTCGGCAGCCTTGACGGGCAGCCCGTGAAAGGGTCCACATCCTTCAAGAAGGAACCAGCGTGGAAGGTGTGCGGGGCCTGCCTTCTGGGCACGTGGCCCCTGTGCTGGCTAGCTCCCTCCCAGTCTTCCCTCCGGGGCTCAGACCAGTAACGAGACAGTCTTATATTTGAACGGCATACGGACTCCCCCTGTCTGAAATCACCTCACAACCACTAGCTTGATATTTTTCACAAAAATCCTCTCCTGAAAATAAATAGCACGTGTTTCCCTGGTTTCTGAGAAGCTGAGGGCTGGCTCCCTGGAGTCAGATGATTTACCTGAGGCAGTGGACAGAGGCCACCCCAGCTCCGGCCACCAGGAGACTTGGTTTGTCAAGGAGCTGCTTTTTTTTTTCCTTTCTTTCTTTTTAAAAAAGCTCTTTCTATCTTTGCTACCTTTTCCTTGACCAAACAAATTTAACTGAATGTGGAAATGGCAGAAGGTCACTAAGGCCTGGCCTTGTGTCCTGAGAGCTAAAACACTGTTTGGTTGATCTCTAGAAAATAAAAACAAAACGGCATTTTTACCTCTTGAACAGTGCTCCTTTACCTTTTTAGAATTCAGACACTCCATCTTTGATTTTATTAATACCTTCTCCGCTCTCCCAGAATCACGTGATGAGGAGTCTGAGGTGGCAGCTGGGGAGTGGCGGGACGCCGCCCCGCTGAGACACCGCGGCTGGAGACACCGCCTGTCCTGGGCCCGCCCCCGGCAGGCGTGCAGAGAAGGCACTCAGGGCAGCGCTTCCCCTTCTGCACGTGCTGCCTCTGGTGTTTTCTAAACTGCATTTTCAAAATGCTAATTCCACGGTACACTGATTTCACAATCCAGCAACGTTAAAAAAAAAAGGTTGCCTTAGGGTTTAGTATAGTCAGAGGGAAAGAGTACCTGTTTTGTACATATTTTAATTACATAGCATTTCCCACTCCAAAATGCGATGCTCACTTTAAATGCTTATTTTTGTCTTGATCTTTCTCAGAAGGGCAGGGTAAGTTGTATTTTCATTCTTAAGTGTGATGGTAGTTTTACTCCAGTAATTAGGGGTTCGTGGTTAAGGTCTTAAGTTGAGCCAGCAAAAGCAGGAGGGCAGCCGACAGCCAGCGCCCCGTGCTGACCGCAGGAGCCCTTTGTCTGTGCCCACGGATGCTGCCTCGCTGGGTGCGTCTCTGCTGAAGCTCTGCCTCTCTGCCCTCCGTTCCACTAGGGCGTCCCTGGGACTCGGGCAGTGGGGACGCTTGCGCCACCCGCGGCTGTCACGGGACTTCTATTTCCTGCTTTTCCCAGCGGTCTTTCCTATTCTGAGAGCGGGCCGCGGGGTCTGTGGGTTGTTTCCGTTGACATGCAGAGGTTTTAGGGTGGATGTAGTCCTGCTTGTCTGTCTGGTTGACTGTGCTTTTGGGGTTGCATCCAAGAAATCCTGCCCAGTCCAGCGTCCTGAAGCTTTTCTCCTATGTTTTTCCCTCTAGTTTTAGGTCTTACCTTTAAGTCTTGAATCCTTCCTGAGTTGATTCTTGTGGATGATGGAAGGTTGGGGTCCACCTTCCTCCTGTTGCACATCGGGCGTCCAGTTTTGTGCCTTTTTCTGATCTGTAGAAACGAAAGCCTACCAGATGTTGAAGCTGTCTACCCTTCAGGACGGCGCACGCCAAACTGAAGACAGGCTCCAGAAGGCGGAGGCCTCTGTGCCGCCACTGCCAGGTAAGCAGGCGGACAGGCCAGTGTCTGGGAGGCCGGGCTGCGGCCAGGGCTGCGTTCCCGTCAGGGGAGGTGCTCCCTGCGTTGTCGGGGAGGTGCTCCCTCTGGGAAGGTTTCTGGGCTTTGCTCTGTAACAGGCTGTCGCGGGGTCGCTTTTCCAGTCCTTGACAAACAGGAGTTTGCAAGAGGCCTCCCTCCAGGGTGTGTGCTGGCGATGGCCTCACGGGCCCTTGGACTGTGCCAGCCATGTCCTGAGGGTGCCTTGACCCTGAGCGCCACAGGAGATGCCTCCAGTTCCTTCTCTTCACACATCTTCCAGGTTCTTAATCAGCAGCGGGGAGTGTCGTCTGGGCCTTCCCCGTCCCAGAATGCTGGGGGACTTGGCGTTCTTTAAATGGAAAGACTGTAAGTCCCAAGGAAAGCTCAGTTTTAAGCTTAAATGTAGTTCCTTCAATCTAGGATTTTTGTTTTTAATTGTAATTTTCTTAGTTTTCTTGTATTTTGTGTTACATTTTCATTATTTTTCAGAGTTTTTATTACCTTCCATTTAGTAAAAGTTACTTCAGCTCCCTTTGTAAGTGGATTAATACAGAAGGAAGTACACTTTAACGACTTTCCTATTTTCATATAAACCACCGTGCTGGAATTTCACCCATCACAATGAACAGTGAATTCTTAATGTCACATAATTCCCAGTCCATATTCAGACTTCCCAGTTGCCTCCAAGATGTCTTCATCAGAGATTGTTTTTTGAAAGGGCATACTTGGGTACAGCAGACTTCGCTGCCTGTCCTTGGCGAGCTGTTTCCTGGGCAGCACCAGTGCTAGAATTAGTTGCTGCAAAATTCAGTTACTTTGGTGGCTTTGAGGGTTCAGGGAGCCTCTGCACATTCAAGAGAAGCCCCCGGGAGGGCTGGCCACGGCGGTGGTGGTTATTTCAACTCCTCAAGCAGGAGACCTGGTAGTTTGTTAAGGTACAAATGGGCTCTGCCCAATGGAGGTCTGCATCGCGCTGGGAAGACGCAGCCCTTGTGAGCCCTTCCCTGTTTGCTCTCATCACCTTCTTCACATTTGAGTCACAGAATCAGTCCAGAGGGGTGTCAGAGTGTTTATCCAACCCCCTAACTTACCAGTTGGCCTCGCTCAGAGCATTACAGCCTGCTAGCAGGCACATGCGGTTTGGAAGGTGGCGCTGCAAACCCACTTGGTGAGACCAGCTCAGAGGGTGGTGTAGTCCCTCGGCCGCGCATCAGAAACTGCAACACTGATAACATGCTGACAGTCCACCTGCTTGTCTGCTAACTTACCCGTGTGAAGTGATGCACACAGTGCGGGTTCTGCAGCCAGGCGCCCCGAGGTTCCGGCCCCTTAGTCCTCACTCAGAATTACACCATGTGCTTCGCAAGGTTCCAGACTCCCCAGCACTGGGCTTAGATGTGCTTCTGATCGTGTTGGCTGTCGTTGAAGTTCGATGCTGCCCTGGAGTTTATCTGGCATTTGGTCACGCGTCCCTTTTTTATTCTCGCCCACGCCCTGATCCTCAGGACTTCGCTGAGCCCCACAGAGAAGCAGGAAGTGGGCTGGGAGGGCCACAGCAGGGCTGAACTTCTCCCAGAGTCACAGGCAGGGCTGGGTGTGCACTCTGAACCCGGAGCCCCCAGTCTAGCCGCCATCAGGGAAGTACACGTTCCAGCTCCTGTCTGTGCCAGACGCTGGGTCTCTGGCTCTGCACCTGTCCCTGCGGAGAGCCACTTTGTCCTCGTGTCTGAAAAGACCTGGTCTTGTTAAGGGGGTGCAGACCTTCCTGGGGCCGAACATGGACACGTTGTTAAGAGAACGGCTTTGCTGCAGAGGTTGCATGCAGGCCGGCGGGGCACGGGTTAGGAGCCCAGCAGCTGCGTTTTGCCAAGATGCTCATGCGTCTCTATCTGAGATCCTGGCTGCCCACCCGTTAAGAATCAGCCTTGTGGCAGAAACATCCAAGGCTGAGGGCACCCAGGACACAGAGGTCAGGTGTTGCCTGCTCGCTGGGAGCACCATGGGGACAGCCTGGGTCCCCGGCTCCAGGGAAAGGGGTGGACAGTACATCTTCCCCGCCATCCTGTCCAGGCTGGTCAGAGGTGGCCTTGGTGGTTTTCAGTGGAGACTTGTTCTCTGCAAGAGAGGAAAACAAGAGGCTTGGGCAGAGGGGCTTCAGGGTGGGTGGGCTGTAACCGTCATCTGGAGGGGTCGGTTATCTCCGAGACCCGGTCCCCAGCTCCCGGTGTCTGGGCAGCGTCGGGCAGCCAGAGCCTGGTGCCGCAGGACAGCCACGTGCCCACACGGGTCTTGGCCATTTGAGGCAGTGCCCTTTGAATGGGTTGATTTCCTACTTTTTGTGGCTTCTGTGTAGGCCTCACAGGAAAGCCCCCTTCCTTCCCATCTCCGCCAGTGTGGCCTTCCTCAGCCTTGGAGGCGCCTGGCTTTCGGTAACAGCTCATCCCCTGTTGACGTTTGTTTCACAAGTTCCCGGGAGGCCGCGGCGGGGGGAGCCACGGCCCCGCTCACTCTCCACGTTTGTGCTCATCACAGGTTTGAACGCTGGCAGCAGGACGTTCCGGACAAAGACAGCTCGCAAAACCGCCTCGGAAGCTAGCTTTTCATCTAGCGAAGGGAGCCCTTTGTCAAGGTAAAGTCGTGCGGGCCTTTCTGAACAGCGGCCCCAAGATGAGAAATGTCACTTCTCCGTGAACTACACTCTGGCTGGTGTTATGTTGTTGTATGACTCGATGGAAGGTTACCGTTTGGGTTTTTGTTTCTCTGAAATGACAGTTGAAACTTCAGTCTACCTTTGAAAATATTTGCACCAGGGCCAAGTATTGTCTTGCAGCTGCTGTTTCCTTGGTTTAAGACTCAGTTGACACCTCAGTGAACCACAAATTAGCGTCTACAGCTGCTCCCAGTAGGGCCTCTTAGAAAGCACACAATGGAGGGTGTCAGGCAGGGCAGGGAGACGTGGCTCCAGAGAAAGGAAGTGGCCTGTTCTTTGGGAGACGCGGATATGTGCACAAGCCGTTGCTGGGCACTTGCTTTGTGCTCCGCGCTTTTACCAAGCATTTGGGCTGGGTGGTTCTTTCCCTTTGTGATACTTTCTTGCTTATTGTCCATAAGGAGCAAAATTTCTCTTTTTGCATTTGTTGAACTGTAGCAGATCTTGTAAGTTTTCGAGCCCTAACAAGGGAGTCGAGGGCTAGATTTGTCATTGGGGTGAAATGCCACGCCACGGCGTTGAGTCACGTGGGGAGAATTTATGGCTGTGGAAAGCGGCAGTCGTTGGTGAAACAGCTACCTTTCTGCGTTGGGCTAAGTGTCATTTAAGATAGCACAGGTCTGCATTTGTAGTAAGATTTCTCCTCAAAAGATGTCTTTAGGTGATTGTGTTACATTTGAATTAACTGCTCACCCCGATGAAATTTTAAAACAGGAACTTTACATTTCTGATGTCCAGTAAGGTAAAATTATTTGTTCAGAAATGTGTTTTTACAATGGAAAAAATTTTCAGTTTCATTTATGTTTTGAAAAACATTACAGTATTTTCAGGACCTGGAATACATTTAAATGAGATCAATTCTTTGAAATTAAGTTCTTGCTTTCAGAAACCTGGTAAGTTTGATTTTAGGGAACTACTTAATTTTGGAAATTATTTTTAAGATCTGGGTTGTCATCTCTGTTTCTGAAGGAAGTGAGGGTGCGTTCGGGGCAGGAGGCGCTAAAGCGAGGCGCTAAAGCGCAGCATTGCTCATGGCTGTGCCAGATGCAGGGTCGACGGCTGCTGCAGGGACCTGCAGGAAACAAACTCCACAGGAAGTTTCAGGGTTTGATGTCGCCGTTTGGTTTAGTAACACATCCCTTTTGTTTTTAAAGATTGTTAGAAGTGTTTGTTTCCTTTATATTTTTGAAGCACTAAAAAAACCCAGTTCTTCTTAAACCTTTTAAATATATATTCTTTGGGCAAGCTTCAGTACACTCAGCAAGCAGTCGGATTCTGTAGAACGTGTTCTCAGTCTGATCATTTCGCGTCTTGCATTTATATTCTATTATGAAATCAAACTTTTTTCCCCTTCAGTTTGAGGCGGGGGCCTTTTGTTAGTCCTGTTGTTTCTGCATGAAATTAATTTCCTGAATCACAGGTAATAACATCATTCCTTTTAAGGGAAAAAAAAGCCTTTAAGCAACCCGTGGTTCTGGGTGCGCCGCAGAGCCCCGGGCGTGGGGTGCGTGGGTTCGGCGCTCTGCGTGTCGCCTCGTGCCGGGCTCCGTGGTGGTCGCCACCCTGGGCTGTGGAGAGCCGGGCTCTGCCGCCTGCGCCTAAATTCACTGCAATTTCGTAGCGGCTTACGTGCAAGGCTCCCACGTCCCGCAGTCACTCCTCGTGCTTTATTGCTTTTACAAGTGGTCTCGAAACCCAGTACTTGAGAATAAACATGGCAGTGCGGTGCTGCCGCAGCACTTCTACGAATTCTTCTTTGCTCTGTTTTGTCAGTGAGCTGATGAGCAACCTCAAAAAAAAAGACCCTGCTGGACCTTAAAAAAAAAATGGCTTCCTCTGATGTCCTGGAGACCATAATTATGATGTGCTAGTTAAGCCCAAACTACAGCTGAGGGATTTTACTTTAAAGCAGCGGCTTGGGCGCAAAAATGCATTTATAGCTCTTTGTCTGCACCTCATTATGTGTGGGCCTGATTCATTAAGTAATTGGTTTGCAGTTGTTTACATGAGTATTAAGGCCTTCCTTTCAGCCGCCTTTGAGAGATACATTGTGCAAATGTTGCCTGCGATGAATGCAGAATGAGGGCCCGAGGGTCCGTCCTATTGGCTAAACAGTGCGCTCTGTTGAAAAGCCAGAGAAAGGGATTGGTGCTGCTTTGCATAGCAATGACTTTCTTAATAAGCGTTACAGATTAATACACACCAGCTATAAAAGATGCAAAGAGATACTCTTAGCACATTTATCCCTGCTCATTTCATTGTGATGGTGGTGGGGTCCCGGTGCTTTCATATTCCCTCTGCCGGAGCCGCGGCCTCCATGCATGAGCCGGAACAGAATCCGGTGTTTATTGTATTATAAATCATGGGCAAGTAGGCAGATCGGCAACAGTTTATTATTAAAGATTCTTTCAGTGTAAATCTTTTTCCACCATTGTCTTTGCTTCAGCAAAATCATTTTGTGGTTGAGTGGGGATGAAAGGATGTAGGAAGGAGTGAGTCCTAATAGGACGCGGCTCTCAGAGTAAAGCCCACTTGTCCCCTTTTGTTCAGGGTGCATGCCAGAGCTTCCTCCCCTGCAGACACTGCCTCCCGCACCTTCCCGGGAGGCCGCCTTACCCTCCCCATCCATTTGTTCAGCGGACAGTGTATTTTAGCCGCCAGTTTTCTAGCTTGGATCAAATGATGTTTCACCAAAAGGAAAGGATGTGCTTGCAGCCTGACTGGGGAAGAGGTAGCAGAGGCACCCTGCCCCCTACACCCTGGGGGCCGCCGTGGGTGGCCTTCGGGGCAGCCCTGCAGCCACGGGAGCGGCCAGCGGAGGGCGCCAGGCTGCAGCCAGTGCTCGCCGTCTCTCCTCCCCCAGCCCGTGTGCCATTTCCCCGGGGAAATGTGAAGATCACTAGGAACCAGCAGTCCCAAGAAATAAAAATGAGGTCTTCCTGCAAGTCCTCTGGGTTCTAATATAAAAGCCCCATCTCTGTCTCTGGCTTAGCAAATCTACATTCTCCATAAATTCTCCCAATTTAGCAGCTTCTTAAGTATTCCACACGTTTCTTGCCATAAGCCCGCCTACTTTATTTTTTCTACTCCAAGCTCAAAAGAACAGTCTCTGGTTTGATAGCTGAAGGGGAGGAGTAAAGTTCCCTGAAAATGGCACCTGCAGGACCCCCGGCCAGCCACCAGGGGGCACTCAGACTGTGTCAAACTGTCCTCGACCTGGCCGGCCTCTGACACTTCAAAGGGAGGGTTCAGAGGTCTGTTGGCGCACTTGTTGGGATTTTTTTTTGAATTTTTAAATTTTTTTTTGCCTTGTATTTTTCAGACACACGTCTGTTTAGAAGAAAATTCTAGCAGAAGATGCTATGAGACATTTTAATTCTGATTGTACTTAGCAGTCAAAATCATTAAAAGTTACAGAATTCAGTGTAGAGCCCGCATCTGGAAGGTTAGTTATTATTTTCAGGCCTCTAACAAGAGCCTCGAACCCACTGTCCCCAGCACCACATACCGAGTTCCCCGCAGGGCTCTCGGCGTCTCGACGGACGTGGCCTCAAAGCCACGGCAGCTTGGCATGCGTGTGGGTGGCCTGTAGCTACTGCCTTCCTTCAGAAATGCAGGGGAAGGGCGCAGCTCAAGTGCTAGGGCGCACGCTCAGCACCCAAGAGGTCCCAGGTCCAGTGCCCTGTACCTCCTCCAAGCAGAAATCAATGAAGAAACCTGACTGCTTCCCCCTCCCCAGCTCGGAGGCAGCCCATGCGCTGCAGCCCCAGGACCCTCCGCTCGCCTGGCCGCCCGGCTGCCCAGCCTCGGCCTCAGCCTCGCACTCGCGCAGCCTGCTGCTCGGGGGCTTTTCTCTGTCAGTGGTGCTCGGTCACCGCTGCACTTTGAGTGTGTGATCATCAGTGTCTGGTCCTGCTGTCCACAGAAGCGTTCTTCTTTATAAAAGCCAGGTGCACGAGAGCCTTCGCCTCTGCAGAGTCAGGTACCCCGGCGGAGGACCTGTATCCCATCGCGCTACCCACATGAGTTGCGGGGCCGGGGCACGTGCACACAGACATCAGCTTTGGTTCCATCCTGTCCACGCGTGTTCTGCACCTCTGTTTTTTGGGAGCAGGACCTGGATGAGCACCCACCAGAGTGTCTTCGGGGTGCTGGCCTGCCCTCCATCCAGTCTGCCAGTGAAGGGATGTTTGTCTGCCTCCTGGCCCTGAGCTGGATGAGGGTGGGGGTGCCCCAGCACGTGTGGGGCCGGAATGTTACCCCCAGTTCTGCCACCATCAGTCCTCAGCCCTCCCTGCAGCCCCCTCTGCAGTGGCAGGTATGGTTTTGGTGTCTGTCCCCAACCCAAGCATGAGAGCCCTGAGGGCCGAGGTCAAGCACGTCCTGTTTGTTGCTGCCACAGAGCACAGAGCCCGAGGCGTTGTCACCTTGTCACCTGTGTGGTATCTGAGGAGAGAAGGAGGGAGTGAACATGGAACCGCTGCCCCCTGAGGCCTTGCCCTGCTGGTGGGAGGCCTGGAGGGGGAGTTTCCCGCCCGCCCGAGTGCTTCTGTCCACCAGCTCCTGGAGGAGGAGGCTTCATGCAGCCCCAGCCTCACCTGTCCCTGGTCCCCTGCAACTGAGCCCCACCTTCTCCCAACCAGGCTCGTACAGCCAGGCTGCTTCCCTGGCCCCCACTCCCCGCAGGGCCATGTCTGAGCCCTTTGGATGCTCCAAGGGGGCCTTCCTGCTGATTCACAGACCAACCTGCTCAGGAGGGGAACTTGCAGGGCCGAGGGAGTGGCCTTGGGCATGACAGCTCCCGGAAGCATCCACCCCCTGCCTCCTGCTTTACCGCTTCTCTGGGGGGGCGGAGACCATAGTTTGAACATGTGTTTTGTAAGCTTGCGTGAGCTGGGAAGAGCATCCCGTTCCACTCCCGCCCCACCCCGCCTAGCTCTGTGTGCTGAGACACATCCCTCAACCTCTCTGGACCCCACCACCCCCACCGTGAAGGCCCTGGCTCGATCCTCCAGACGCTCTCAGGTCTCTTCCTGGCTGCTTCTGTCTCACTTTCGTCTCTACGTGCTGCCCGCAGGCAGAACTGAATGCTAGCAGACGTCCTTGCCACCTTGCTTTGTACTCGTGTGGACCATTTCTATCGGTGGTGTTGGCCTTCTGTGCATAGAAAATGAACAGGTGACTGACGCTTACAACTTTGACTATTTTCTTTAGTGCCCAGGTCACTGGATCACGGCCCGGGCTGGGGGCCAGGCTTACCGTGAGACCTGCAGTGAGACCCTGGCCGCCCGCCTCCATGTGGGCAGCACAGACGAGGACAGAAGCGCTTGGCTGCGCGTCGCCCTAGCTCCTTATCAACAGCGAGGGAATTTACCAGCAGTTACCGAAATGCGTCACAAACTGAGACGGCTTGATGGACGGGCAGAGGGAAGACGTGACTGGGCCGGCATGGCCCGCACTAACTGGAGCCTCTGACTGGCGGGCACGTGGGGCTCACTGGGCGGTGGAGGGGACACCACAGAGACCGCTGTCCTGCTGTGACGAGGCCAGGGATGCGCTAACACTGACTCAATCTGATCAGTTCTCTGTGCTCGTAGTGCAATAAGGCATCCAGGCTAATTACGTAAGCGTGTGGGGGAAATGCCCGCGTCTGCTCCCCTGGAGTCCAGCTGTCACCGCGACCGGCCAGTGCGGTGGGCTCCTCGGTCAATGCTCGGGCAGCACCCCGCGGCCGCGCTTCATGACGGCCCCGCAGTCCTGGGCCTGGGCCCTGCCTGGTCCCGTGCAGCCGCTGAGGCCGTGCTCACTTTCTGTGGTTGGGGAAAGGCCAAGAACAGCGCCGCACGACCCCTGAAGGTTACGTGAGAGTCAGATTTCAGTGTCGCCTGGACTAGGGTGGTGGTAACACAGCCTCACCTGTCCCTTCCTAGCTCATCCAGGGCTGGAGGTGTGGCAGGGACCGCTTGCCGTCCAGCTCTTCGCAGATGCGTCCCCGAGCTCGGGCAGGGGAGGTGCTCGGACCCCAGGCCCCGCTGACGGCTCTGTCCGCTCCACGGGAAGCTCTCACGCCACCCTTTGGGCCCCGCCTTGGCCTTCCACGTTCCGTGTGACGCAGAGGAAGAGGCGTTGACCTGGGAGTTGTGTGTGGTAAAGACCAGCCTTGAACTGCAGTGTCAGGTCGACTCCCAGAGACGGTCTCCCGAAGGGAAAAGAAGCCGCCCCGCAGGGGAGAGGGCGACGCAGGGAGTGCGCGGCAGCACCTTCCACCCTCCGCGCAGCGACCCCGTGTTTGCTTGTGGGAAGAAGCGTGAACAGCCTGACTGAGCTCACGTGGGAGCCGGGTTTCATCTGACCGAGGGGGCAGGTGCAGCTCAGGGGTGGAGCACGTGCCCAGCGGGCACGAGGTCCTGGGTTCTGTCCCCAGTGCCTTTATTTAAAAAATAAACCTAGTTACTCCCCCCAAAAAAAAGAAAAAGGGAAAACAAGCTAATTTTTTTTTTAAATTGACCAAATGCCTTCAGGCAAGGCCCGTGCACGGTGAGGGCCATCTGTCCACTCCGCACACTCTGAGCACCCACTGCGTGCAAGCTCGGGCGCCGGGGGGGCTGCGATGCTGCGGTGCTGCTCCTGTGGGACAGATAGCCCGGGGAGGGTCACATGTCAGTGACACAAATGGCTGTGAAACAGCAACTTCGATGAGGACTCGGGAGTGAGGCCACACAGGAGGGTCCGACGAGGTCTGGGCATCAGCCTTGGACCCTGTCCAGGATTTAGTTCTTCTGCCAGAAGCGCAGGGGAGGCACTGAAGTGTTGTAAGCGAGGAGGCAGAGTGATGAGATTTGTGTTCCACAAGCCCGCTCTTGCTGCCGAGGGAAAGTGGGTCGCGGGGACCAGGGGGACGTGGTGTCACCCGTCAGGGACTGTCAGAACTGTCTGGCGAGAGATGCTGGCTTTGCGAGCGGGTGGGGTGGTGCACAGGGAAGAGGGAGGACCCTGGGAGGTGCTGGGGGTGGGCAGGGCCTCTGGTGGGGCAGAGGAGTGGCCCGGGGCTTGGGAGGGACTGGAGGGCGGGGGTCTGTCGGCTGAGACAGGAGAAGGGCCGTGGGTTGGGTGGTGGATGGGCGAGTCAGCCGGGAGGTGCCCTGGTGGCCGAGCAGAGTGAGCAGTGAGCTCTGGGCATGCTGTGCGCTCAGAGCCAGGGCTAGGGGCCCGGCGTGTGCTCGCCTGCCTCTGTCCCTCTGGGACGTCCTCGCCCGCTGTCACAGCAGAGTCTGGGGTGCCTTGCTTTCTCCGGGACCCCGAGGCCGCCCCATCCCCACAGAGGTGCACTGCGGGCCCTCCTGGCCGGGCATCTGCAGGAGCCTCCGGCCTCGGGGGTCCTGATGCCCGCGTGTTGCTTTTAACACCCAGGGGGGAAATGTAGAGTTCCTGGCCAGGTGGTGAGGCGCGTGTGCTGCTCCCCTGCCGCGCTCACGGTGAAGGTGCTAGCCTGTCTTTTTTCAGGACTCAGGTTGTGTCTTTATTTTACAGGCATGAAAACAAGAGGAAACCAACTACCAATTTAAAGTCTAAAGGTAAGAGAGCTAACTGGAGACCAGACTTTGATTTTGCGTTTTAACTGAAAGAGTGGTTTGTGGTGCGTGGGTCATCTGCACGCTTGTGGGCCGCAGCCTGCCTGTGTCACAGGCCCTCCAGCTCTCCTGTGGCGGGGCGGTGGCCTCAGAGGGGACAGGGGCTTCTCTGAGCACCGGTCTCCAGGGCCAGGGCTGTCTGAGGATGCTCGGGGCTGTGGACCACAGTGCAGGGCATCCTGGCCCCCACACCAGTGTGTTCCACCATGAAATGTCTCTCACCTCAGTCCCTGTCCTCCCTGCGAATGCCCCCGAGTACCCACTGCTCGTGACCTGCCGGCTCTTGCGGAAAACTCCCCCACCCTCCCCGCTCCCAGCTGCCCTCTCCTGGCTGGACACCCACCTCGGAAGCCCCATTGTCCTCCCTGCCCGCCCGGGGAAGAACAGCCAGTGCCCCGCCGCCTGCAAGGCCCCTGCCGGCGTCTTGTCCTCTTCGGGTCCAGCCATGGGCGCTTTCCCACTGCGCCACACTTGTGCCTCAGTGCCCTTGCTCCTGCTGTTCCTTCTCTGGGACAGCCCTTCCATCCAGGGAGCTCCTCTGCATCCCTCAGAGCCCTCCTTCCGTCCAGCGCTGGCTCTCCCCGGCTGCGCCTGGTCTCCCTCTCCTCCTGTCTCTTAGATCTTCTTCCCAACCCAGAGCACAGATTTGAGTCAGACACCCTGGGGGGACTCCTGGCTTGACCACCCCCTGTCGCTGTGATTGTGGCCAGTTACTTAACCTCTCGGCCTCAATTTTCTCAATAAAACAGAGACTTCGTACTCACCAGGTTGGGGCAAGGATTAAATGGGGTGTATGAAAAATCACCTCAGAGCTGGGCAGAGCCTGTGGGGCTGCAGTCACGGTGGTCAGTGTCGGACCGCCAGACCCCAGGCAGCTCAGAGCCCCCAAGGGCTTCCTGTGGCTGAAGGAGCCAGCTCAGCCCTCACGGGCGACCTGGAACCCAGGGAGCTGACCCCTGCTTAAGAACAACCCCAGCCAACCAGGGCTGGAGCTGGTGGATAAATGGCCCCCTTCCTTCCTCTCCTGCGGGAAGATTTGGGGAGAGTCCGCAGCCTCTCAGAGCCCCACCCCCACCCCCGCAGGACTGACCCCAGCTGTCCACTGCCTGCCCTGAGAGGGGCCTCTGTCTTCCCCGGGTCCCTATCCCATCATGGGCCCCAGGATCCCCTCCCAAGTAAACGTGTGTCTGTGGCACCCTCGCTGCTGCACCTCCCCACGACTTCCCTCCTCTCGGCTCTATTGAGGACGGAGGGGCGCAGTGAGGTGTCCGGGCTGATGGAGCCCCCAGGCCCCCTGCTTCCGAGTCCTGATCATGCCGTAGAGAGTTGAGCAGAAGGGAAAGAACATGCTCTGCCGAGCATTTTCCGTAACAAGGTGTAGACTACACAAAAATGGGCGCGTTTGTGCAGGGCTGAGCTGTGTTCCAGGCACGTCTGGGCAGGTGCGCCGCGTAGGGGCCTGGGAGGCCGGGCCAGGCCAGGGCTCCAGTGACCCGGTCGGGCTGCTGAAGCCAAGCTGGCCCACGTGCAGGGATGCTGACCAGTGTCCGGTTCCTCTTCCAGCCTTCTGGGGAGAGTCCGATGACAGCAACTCAGAAATCGAAGCTGCTTTACGTCCAAGAAACCGTGACACACCCACTGACGATTTTGATGATTTTTATGACTTATAAGCTGTAACACCTGTTGGAAATAAAGCCTTTCAGCAAACTAAAACCCTGTGTTCAGATGGAATGGTCGCCATAAACGTGTTCTTTTGTGTTTTCTAATTGTTAATTGGGACCATGTTACTATTCCAGTGAAATTTCATGGCATAAATATGAACTGGCACATTTGTTAAATGTTACCAAAAAGCACAGGGACGACCAGCCACAGCGCTCATCCATCTTAGGCTGGTTCCTTTGTAGAAACATTCATATGCAAATTCAGGGCCCAGAATGGCCACAACAGCCCTGAGAAAGCTGGAGGACTCACACGTGCCCGTTTTGAAACTTACTAAAAGGCCGCCGTGATTGAGAGCATGGTGCCGTGCACACATACATGGATCAGTGAAGCATTACTGATTTATATAGAGTCTAGAATTGATCATCCAGAAATCAAGTCTCACATTGATGGTCAATTAATTTTCAATAAGGATGCCAAGGCCATTCAGGGCGGGGAGAAGTGGTCTCTTCAACAAGTGATGCTGGGGACCCTGGGCGGCCTCGTGCAGAGGAAGGCAGGTGGAGCCCACCTCACACTGCGCTCAGACCGTAACTCAGCACATCAAGGACCTCAGTGTAAGAGCTAAGCTGTCAGACTCCTAGAGGGAAATGGGGGGAACCCCTTGTGACCCTGCACTGGGCGGTGGTTTCTCAGCAGAAACGACACCACTAGCAACAGAGAAAACACTGTCACGTTCCTGAGAACGAAGGAAAGACAGACAGGGTCACAGAGCAGGGGCCCGAAGAAGACGTGACAGCACAGTGAAATGTAGAGTCCTGGGTGGGATCCTTGAACCAAAAAATGGACGTTAATGGAAAAGTCGGTGAAACCCAAGTGAGTCTGGAGTTGAGTTGATAGTAACGTCCAGTGTCGGCTTCTTAGTGTAACACCCCCGAGATGTGCGGGACGAGAAAAACGTGCCTTTAGGGGACGCTGAAACCGGGTGGCACCTGCCACCTGCACACGGATTCCCCGTGCGCTTTCTGCGGCTGCTCTGTGAACCTGAAGTACGTACACACACGCGCGCGCAGCTAAAATGGAATGCGTTTTCTTTTTCCTTTTCGGTTACTTACCCAGTGACCCTGGTTTAAAATTTAAAGAGCTGCTAGAAAATTTCCTTTTACGATACATTGTAGGGAAGAGAAGAGAACTGACTTTAAAACTCTACTAAGCAAATGGCAGCGCCCAGGGCCGGGCGCCGGGCTGCATGCGGGGGCGCAACTCCGGGGCCGCAGGGCCCATCTCTCAGGTGAGGGCCGCACCGCAGCCTGGCTTCACCACCTGCGTCTGCCTTTCACTCGGACGACCACCGCACTCGAGACTTCCAACACCAGATTTGGGGGCCAGGGGTTCCCACATCAGCCAGCTCTCTGACACCAGCTGCACGTCCCGCCGTTCAGGGCAGTCTGACCCCGGAGTTAGCGCCGACCCCACAGGTTCGCAGCTCAGGCCAGACTGACCCCACTCCAGGGGCCCCCAGGTCCCATCTTCTGTGCGACTGGCCCGCAAATGGGTCCCCACCGTCCCTCCTAGGGTTTGATAATTTGCTAGAATGGCTCATAGGACCCACTGAAACCCCTGCACACGTTCACCACTTAATAATAAAAGGAGATGATCGAGGGCCGAGGTGAGCACGCAGGTACCGGGAAGTGCCCCGCGGGGCGCTCAGCGCCCAGGAGCCTGCCGGCCACCTCCCCGGTGGCTGCACCCCGGCTTCATCACGCAGGCACGGCCGACTCAGTACCTCCGCTTTCAGCCCCGTCTGCTCGCCGGAGCCCAGGAGGCCGCGGCTGAGAGTTCCAGGGTCCTGATCACGGCCTGGCCTTCCCAGTGACCGGCCGCACCCTGCAGCTGCCCAGGAAATTCCCCGGATCTCAGCAGCTTGGTGTCAGGAAACAGAGACCAGTACACGTTTTTCTACTGTTTGATGCTGGTCTTCAGGCGCACACATCCAGCTTTCACGGGCTGAGTTAATATGATGAAATCAAGCCCCAGAGCCCAGAGCGCGAAGGATTAAATCCTGGCCATGGGGTGACCGCCTCCCAGCCCCTGCCAACCGGCGTGCAGACGCGGCTTTACCATCTGCCCCACCAGCAAGGCCTTCCCGACACTTCCCGTGTGCTGGGCACGGGGCTCATCCCCGGGGACACGAGGACGGATCTGACCGTCACTCCCCTCCGGTGTCCACACTCCAGCAAAGGAGACAAAGCCTGCAGTGCTCCACGTGGTGGCCACACGCTCTGGTAGCTGCCTGTGCCCCCAGAGCTCAGGGGCACCAACAGACCATTCCTCTGGGGCTGCCTTAGGGAAGCCTCGCATGGGAGGTGACATCTGTGCGGGAGAGGGTGGAGCTGGAGGGAGCAGGAGTCTCTATGGGCAGAGAAGGGACAACTTCAGGGCCCAGAGCCGCAACAGAGCTCATGTCGATGACACGGTCGCTACGTGAAGCTGGTGCAGGACACGTGGGCAGGGTGGCAGGGAGAAAGGGGTGGCCTCCAAGGTGTCTGCAAAGACGACACAGGCCCTCCAGGAAGAGCATGAGAACCCGGAGGGTTTTGATATAAGAGCAACTTCAAAAGCCAGCAGGATGCTGACACCAGCCTGAAAATAATGTGCTTACAGATGCTGTTTACAGTGATAGAACTTGCACGTCAAAAATCTTAAAATTTTTAAGAAATTAGTGAAAGATGACATTTTAAACAGCTATTGACGGTAGTGGACTACATGTTCATGGGCAGGAAGATTCGATCAGATCACAAATTCTGTCCAGATTGATCCAAAAAGTCAATGCTATTTCAATCAAAATCCCAACAGGTCTTCTTCAGAAACTGACACGCTGGTCATTAAATGTTTAAATAAGGGAATTAAAGGTCCAGAAGGGTCAAGACAGCTCTGAAGGACAGGCAGGAGGAGGCCTGGCCACGGCAAACACCAGGATTTATTATCAAGACCGTAATCAGGCCTGTGGTCTTGGCCCAGGGATGGAAACGTGGAACAGAACAGAGGCCCCAGAAAAACTCCCAGGCATGAGACCTGGGTCCAGACATGTCGTTTCAGAAATCCATGAGGCGGTAACAGACTTTGCAATGAATGGTGCTGGACCCGCTGGCAATCCACATGGCGAAGCACGAAATTAAATGTGTTATTGGCAATCATAAAATATTTATTTTGCATCAGTTTCTCTCTCAGTGGTTAGTGACATCTGTAGCCACCTTTTGTTTGCTCCTGAGAGAGCATGTCCCACACCTGCTCTGCCAGCCTCGCACCCCCACCCCGGGCTCAGGAGACAGCCTTCCCTCTGCTCCACTGAGACTGAGGTAGAAGCTCTCTTGCTTTCCCCTCCTGGCCATCTCTTAATACCTGGCATCTTCTCTCTTTCTGGGTTAGAGAAAATAAAGGCCCTTCTCCTTCCCTCACTGTCTTATTCTCTCCCACCATCCACCCACCCATCGACCCATCCAACCATTCCACCTACCCACCCACCTAATCGTCCGTCCATCCATCCATCCAGGGCACATTTAATGCCTTTCCACTTCCTCCAGTACCTTTTTTCCTACTTAAAAAAAAATTTGATTACATATACTTCAGCTTTATTGTCTTAACCATTTTTAAACGTACAGCTCAGTGGTATCTAATACATTCATAATGGTGCACAACCACCTCCACATTTATCCCTGTAAGTGCTGAAACCCTGTTCCCCGTTACATGTCCTCCCTTCCCAGAGCCCCGGCAGCCACCAGCCTGCTTTCTGTCTCTACAGCTTGACGAGTCTAAGTGCCTCATAGAAGTGGGATCACACAGTATTCGCCTTTCGGCACCTGGCTTATTTCACTCCGTATAACATCCTTAACATTCATCCATGTTGCAGCCTGAGTCAGAATGTCCCGTTTCTATGAGGCTGAACAATAGTCCATGGTATGTATGTGCCTCTTTTTGTTTCTCCATCATCCATCAATGGACGCTCGGGGTGTGTCCGTGTTTTAGTTACTGTGGATGAAGCCACTGTGAGCGTGAGCATGAGCAATTCCTCTTTGAGAACTTGCTTTCAGCCTTGGGGGTAAACGCCCAGAAGTGGGATTGCCGGCTCATGCGGTAACTCTAGTTTTAGTTTTAAAAGGAACCTCCACACTGTTTCTACAGTGGCTGCACCATTTAACATTCCCACCAGCAGTGCACGAGTGTTTGCATTTCTCCACATTCTCATCAACGTGTTATTTTCTGGGTTTTTTTTCCAGAAGCCATCCTGGTGGGTATATGGTGGTAAAATTAAATTTCTACATCACCCTAAACATGAGGGAAATTCCAGCTGGAATAAAGAGCCAAATGTGAAAAGGAAAACTTAAAACTGTGAAAGAAAAAAAAATAGGCCAAGTGTCTTTAAGACTTCCGGGCAAGGAAGAATTTCTTAACCCACACAGAAGATGCACAAAGTCATAAAGGAAAATGCTGGTAAACATCACGCTGAAATTAAGCTTTTCTGTGTGACGAAGACACTGGCAAGAGGAAAAGACAAAGCGTGGGCCGGAACGTGACACCTGTAGGGTGCCTGCCCGTCACAGCCCTGCAGCTGGGGTACATAAAGGATCACATGTCAATACGGAAACTAACTCAGAAAAACGAACCAAGGGTCGGAATGAGAAATTCACAGAAGAGGTAAGCCAAGTGATCAGTGAGCACCAGAAGGCACACAGACTTAGCAGTGAAGCAAACACTTCTCACGCCCGGCAGCCGAGCCGAGGTTCCAGGCAGACCGAGTCAGGAAGGACCCGGAGGGAGCAACCTGCACACACTGTGCTGAGCACCTTTGTAATATCAAGCAAGGCTGCAGGTGGCATGTGCCCCGCGACCCTGTGATTTCATCTCTGAATGTCTGCTTTCCAGCCAGAGCGTCCTACACAGGGATCACCAGGCAGGAGCAACGTATCTGATCCAAACGGAAACTTCGTATCGATCTGAACACTTGGTAGGAAAGAAAGACTGTGATGTTCCATTAACATGCTGCTTATACGCGG